TATGTATGTATGTATGTATGTATGTATGTATGTATGTATGTATGTATGGTATGTATGGTATGTATGGTATGCATGTTATGCATGTTATGTATGTTGTGTATGTTATGTATGTTATGTGTGTAGGTATGTGTGTAGGTATGTGTGTATGTATGTATGTATGGATGTATGGATGTTTGCATGTATGTATGTATGTTTGTGTTCACACATGCACACCACAATTACCACAAGAGATCTTGGATTTTGCAGCAAAAGGATTAAAGGTTGCACATTCCAGCTGCAAATCAGCAGAACTTGGTGTTTCTAGTTAATCAGATCATTCCCCCATTTGCGAGGCTCTGAGCAGCCCGTGGCGGCCTCAGAACAACCGCCGTCGCTAGTAGTAGCCCGTTTGCGCGAGACAGTGCTGTTCCTTCCGTCGTCGACGAGGTCGCCTACCGTCCGGGATCCAAAGAGATCATCGCCACGGAGCGACCAATACCGAAGTCTGCGGCTGAGTTGGGAAGATGGAATGATAGATTTTTTAAAGCAGCAGCATGTCTTAACTGTGTTTGCCGGGGTCTTGGAAGGCCAGACCTATGACAATCCAAGTGTTGATAAATGAGAAGGAAGGTCAAGGGATGCAGAACCAGACATGGACCAACACTTCGTGCTGCTTTCGTTGCATGACCTGTCGGTTGGCTTCACTGGTTCGAGGACTTTGAACCCTCCGTCCAGAGGGTTATCACCGGAAGCTCTACGCACAGGCAAAGACTTCAGCATCACTGCAATCAGTTGCAGAAAGAGTTGGGGCGCCTTTTATGATGAAGACATTCAGACATTGTCCGCAATCAGGAGCTGCACTTGATTCGCTTTGTGACTTATTGGTGTAATCATCCATGGGTCAGGTTTGGGGGATGCTTGGTAGCCAGAGTAAGAACATGCTAGCTTGAAATGGCAAGAAAACTAGAACATATTGTGATGTTCGAGAAATTTTGCCCTCTTTCAGGGCAGACTGTGAACGGACTTTGGCTGGTGGTGTCATGCTTCATCATTTTGGACGCCTTGAAGCCGATCCTGGCACCTTGGTGGAAGATCATTTGAGTGTCCAGTGTGTTGGGTGTAAGACCTTCAAACTAGACCTATAGGTACACTCCTGCAAGGCTTTTGCCTAGAGATTTTTCCTTCTGACTGATGCACCTGTGTAGCAAAGATGCTTTCAGCTTCGATCTTTCTAAAGGGTGGGCCGCCCGGTGAGCCCTGCAGATGTCTTTGGGTGCCAAGGTGACTTGGGCAAACACAGCACATGCCGTGCAGCTGGCAGGTTTTTTGGGAGACTCTTTGGGGCAAGGAGGTCAAGTCGAGTCAAGCTGAGTCAAGTGGATCATTGGTGTACACCATGCAGTATGCAGTTTGGAAATCTATAACAATTTCTTGGCTTTTGCCGTCTTTGTCCAGGTAGGTGAGCCCAGCTTTATCCAAGGCACATTCGTGCTGGTGCGGAAGCCAAGATGTTGATGACATGGCTCGAAGCGGCTGATTGAAAACACAAGTCATCGGCACAAGAGCTGGAGAGTCAGAATGCCAGCATGAGTGATCTCCTCGTCTAACTCTGACTTGTCTTTTGTTGTTATTGACGCGTTCTGATGCTTCGAGCTCTGCACACTGAAGCCATTGTGAATGCATGTATATAAAAGCCTAGTGCATTACTGCCCAAGTATGAACAGTTGTGCATTTTTTTTAATTGATTCAGGATCTTGTCGAATCAAACAATTATGCTTAATTAATGGTTTTGCGAGGTGCAGACAGCGCTGTCTTTGCTTGTGGGCCTTGGTATTGCGATGGGGCCACATATCTCCTCCGACCTCAGGGTGAGGCAGGCACAGATTCAAAACAACAAGAGCTATCGAGAAACGAGGTGCTCAGTCCCCATAACAGATTCGAGTTTTAAAACTCATTCACTGACTGTTAACGTTTGTTGTGGAGCCAAAAGCAACTGCCAACATCCAGCAGAGTATCCAGCAGGCTTCGTGATGATTGGCGGCCTCGTGTGCTTCGGTGCCTTGATCCTAAGGTGGGGAGTCGGGGAGGGTCCGTATTGCGGGCCCCCCATTTTGTAGTCAGATGTTTGGATGATTCTTTGTGGTAGGAAACGAGACTGTCATCACTAGTGCTATGTGCCCAGGGATTTGGGAGTGGGAGTCGTATCAGTTAAATCTGAGACACCATGTTGGCAAAAAGTGGGGCAATTGCTTTGCAAAACAACCTGGCGCCAACCTCAATGTCAACACCGGATTAATCAACCCCCCCCCTTCAAGGTCAACCAGGTCAACAAGGTTTGGTTTTGGAGGGATTGCAGACCACATCCCCTTAATAAAGATGATGACCTGATGATGGATGATGAGATGAGGACCTGGACCTGAAGATATTAGATGCTAGCCAAAAATAAAATAAACATATATAGAAACAATACTCTTTTTCTGGGGGAGCTGGGCTTGATTAATAGGGGGAGGTTTCTGCCAGAAAAGTTATTAGGGTGATGTACCAGGTCTTAATTATATAGTTTAGTATTGGGGGGCTCGAGCTGGGCTTGATTAATAAGGGGAGGTTACTTAATCCTCTTGTCAACATTACAGTCAAGTCTGTTCACTCACAGTTGCTCCCTATCTTCGCCATCTCCTTTTTACCACGTCCGTTCTTACAATGTCACCTGTAACCTGCCTTTCCCCAAGTCCGTTCTTAAATCTTCGCCTCCTATCATTGCAGGAGCGGAGTCGCAAACGGACGTTTATCTATTATTATCAGTTTCGCAGCAGACTCCTTGAATTGAAAGCAAGAAAACACAGCGCTGATCACAAGCTTTTGCATCTCCTTGCAGTTGGCAGGCTGTGACCAGACAGCTGCCAGTGCTTTGCTCAGCCTGAAAATGTACTGTGATGGACACATTGAAGGGTGGAAAATGCTGCCATCCAGAGGATGACGCAAGAGTCTGCTGTCTTCAGAGGCTAGTGCTAGATGCCCTAAGTGCCAGACTGTTTTTGAAATGCTTGCCAGACTTTGTTGAGGTCTCCTTATGCCTCTGTTTGAGCAAGCTGTTTCTGGTCTACTCTTTGGGCCGTTTAGATGCAGGTGCGCCGTTCTCGCCATTTCTTTAATCGTTTTCTTTTCTTCCATACCGGTCCGCGGCTTTCCTGACCGCGACCGAGCATCAAACTTCTGACTCATCAGGTACTGTTCGAGTCTTTGGACAAGCCAGCTTGCCGCTGGTTCACACCCTCAGGGGGATTGTGATTCAAGCCCGACCAGGAGTCCAAAGCTCTGAAGAAACATCACAAGTGACGGCGCACAGGAATATATAGGAATATGTCTCCGCCAAACAGAGTTTTTTAGATCCTCACCACACAGCTATGTTTCTTCTACAAAGATTGGAAGGGCCAGCCAGCAGTGATGCTATTATCCGCGATCACGCAAGATTCTTGCCTGGTCACCTGTTGGTGGTTGAGGTGGGAGTGAGCACTGCACTCTTCTTCAAGCGAAGGCTCGGTGGGAAAACATGTCGGTAGTGTTCCCAGCTGACACGAGTTGACCTTCATATGATTGATGCACCAGTTGACCTTGGATTGGATGAGCTATGTAGCTTAACACACACAATTTAATATACAATATTATACAATAAATATATATATATAATATATATATATATGAGCAACGGCTTTTGTTTGCGGTAGTGAAGATTAGTCTAGGGGCGTTCCTTTTCTATAGCCCAATGTCAGATTTAGTTGGCGAAACGCGGTAGGAACACCCCGAGAACGAGATTGGGCATCAAATGTGCCACTTGTTTGAAATGGTTTGGTTAATGACATGTTTAGCTTGTGAAACGAGGTAGGAACACCTATCGAGAACGAGATGGGTATCCACAGGAATGGAGAACGAGATCACACAACAAAAATGATGCGGGATTGGAGAAGGAGGTAAGGAAGGTCCATGTTGTAGTTTAACGGAAATAAATTCCATAGCTCATATGTATAGGTGTATATATTTATTTCAACTGCATCCCAGCATATCCCAACTTAACTTCGAAGCTTGGCTGTTGGCTCTTGGCCCAGATACTCCTTGCAGCAGTGGTGCAGCCTCGTGGCACTTCTGCCTAGTTTCTTCTTTGGCTCAACGACCGAGGGAAGCATGGCCCTTGAAGAATGCGGAGAATCTGTGAACATGGGTTCACGACTTCCAATGGCGTAGATTTAGTCGTATGAGAGGGGCTGCGTAGTTGTCCTGGCTGCCGAGCTTTCAGAAGTCAGATCCAAATAAAAGGGTGACTGGAAAGTGTGACACGTTTTCCCCTTGGTTTTGATAGAGGGTTGCACTGTGCAGCTGTGTCTTTTCACAACTCTTCACCTCTTCGGCGCTGAGACGCCAGGCAGTCTCCCTAGGGCTTGTGACCTTCTACTTTGTGAAGGCAGAGGTGGGCGCAAATGGCAGAGGTTGCGGGGCTCATCTGTTGCATCTAAGTCTGAGTCTAAGTACCACGAAGCGTACACGCCCATGCATTTGCAGCATGATGTCGTCGGTCTTTTGGTTTAAAGCAAGCCACCCAGCCGAAACAGAAAGACCAACTCTTTTCTTATTGTATGAGGCCATGATCTATACATGTTGCCGGATTGAACCAAGGGCTGTACGCAGCAAGCACTTCTATAAGATTGAAAGCAACTGTTTGCATGCATGTTCATGGGTTTGTTGTACTGGACTAAGTCAATATCGGAACTCTATGTATTATTGAATCAGGGTGCCGCTGAATGTTAGCATTGCGTAAGATTGCCGTAACAATATATATATATAATTCAATGTATGATCTCTTGCACGCTACCACATTCCGAGATTTCTCCTCCATCCAATGGCAGCGTCAGCGGATCAGCCGGCTTTGCGAATCTCACAGATTTATCACGAGCAAGGCAGCTCAGCTTCATTGAACACCCAAATCCCATTCATCCAGCTTGTGGTCTCGTTTGCTGGTTTTTGACCTAGGCAGTGCGAGTCAACCAATCCAAACAATCCCAACCTGTTACTGTACGTTCCCGCTTTGATGGTTTGAGCACAGTTGCCCCTTTCAGCTAGGGGTGGGTGGCTCTTCGAACCCTGAGGCAAGTTGGACATCAATCAACGCATTGAGGATGGGTGATCTTGCCAACTTAATTTCGTTTGGCTGCAATGAAACAGAAAGCCGTTCCACTTGGCTAGATCCGTGCAGAGATCAGAGATCGGCATTGGACCGGATGAATTTGGAACACACTGGCCGGTGAATTGCGAGATATTGCGAGTTATTTGTGCATCGAAGTTTGGAGGGCAGGGATAGTGAGTGACATTTCCTTTGTGTGAGAATTGATGCCACATGTATCCCAACAGGGCAGCAACATAGCCTGCTATTGCTCTTTTGGCCACCCTTCGTGGAACATCCGGTTCACTGAACACAGGACGGTTTCAGAGATGGCCCTGAAAAGCGGTCAACGGATGCGATGGAATGCCGCATGGTTGCCGCGTAAACGGTTGTGATCCGGTCGAGCGGTTGGGGCTGGCCGTGGCGGGAGGGCTCCCGGCCTGTGTGTGGCTTTCAGCTTCAGCATCCGCCCTACAAACCACCAGATATCGGATCAAAGGATTGCAAAAGAGAGATCCCATGTGGTAGTTCATGTTATTTTCCCTATGCTCGGCGAGTGTCAGCGATATGTTTTTGTTTGCCGGCATTTTCGTGTGCGCGACCTTCATCCCATACTTTTCGGGGTAGCTGCTTGACTTGAATTCCACGAAATGCCTGCCCAGTTTCTGCCCAGCTGCAATCTTGTGGATTCTGCCATTGAACCTTCATTAACTATAGCCTGTAGCAGCACACAAACTCCCTAGAACATCCTAGAACAAAAGCTTCATACATCTTACAGTATTACTATATATCATGATGCCCATTCCCCTTTTGGAGTCAATTTAGTTGCTCGGTCCAGTTGAACTTGCGTCGCTTTCAGGTGTTCCTGTTGACTTGACATAGACTTGACATAGAAACACTGGATTCTCCTTTTCATGATGCGGAATCCCCGAATTTGGCGCGTGTGCTGCTTGCTGACATGCTGACATTGTCCGTATGCAGACGCCTCAGGTCTCCTGCTGGATCGCCGCCAGGATGAAGTCCTCGACTCATTCGTTGAAAGGTGTCGCAAAAAGCTGCGGAAGGCCAAGGACTGTCAACACAGAAAGCATCGCAAAAGAACAGTTTCTGCTGGTTCCAACATTATTCTGCTTCAATCATGAAAACAACTCCATACAGTAGAGGACTTGTTTTGCAAGAGATGCCATGGACCCCGTCACCCAGTACAAATGCAGAACACTCTGATCCAGCATTTCAAAACAGTAAAGGAAAACAGAAGAAATTACCCTCCCTGGACAATAAAATCTTCCACCAATGTAGATTCATGTAAATTTAATTGGAATGGTTTTTTAGATTTTTTAGGTTCGGTAGGATTCCACGTGCTTGTTTTCTTTTTGCTCTACTGTTGATGTTTTTTCGACTTTACGACATTTCATTTCTTGTGACATTCTTTGTGGTTTGTACTTGTTGAGTTGAATTATGTAGGTCTTCATTTGTTGTGTGAATATTTAGCAAACATTTCTTGTAAGGTTTTTAAGCCTTATCTCCATTGTTTTGTTTCCTTTTGCCCATTAGGCCCATTAGATGAGCCCTCTTTTTCAGAGCTTCAAGAGAGCAACATTTTGCTTTCAAAAAGGCGTTCTACTGGCATGGTGTTGCCGTATTTTTTTGTCCTCCATCCGCCATCCACTGATTACTTTTGGGTTGGGACCAGGGGTGGCATTTGATCAGAGTTTTTCGAGGAAAGGAGCCGCCAATCTAGACGTAGGAAGTGGTCCCGATCCTGCTTTGCCAGATTGGCGGCTCCTTTCGTCTTTGAAACTTGCATGCAAGGCATAAGGATTACTATGCAAGGTTTTGCTTGGGGGGTGCTACCTGAATATTTGTGACAATGCTTAGTCCTGCGAGGATGCGCTCCAAAGCACAATTTTTAACCACAAGTGTTGCCCAACATTTTCGACTAATGAATCAGCACTTACTTTATGCCAATGCAATGCAGCCATTTTCCGGAGGCTTGTGGGTTCATTATACAATCGGAAGTTTTCAGTAATGGCTGTCCGCTCCATTTTATTCCGCTATATGATTTGATCAATGCCTCTGGCCTCTCTTGGGGGAATCCACATCCACAATCGATCGCTCCTCGGTAGAAGTCTGCCGAAGGACGAGGCAGCGCAAGCGATGGTGCTTGCGTTGCTTGTTTCAGACTCTTGGATATGAGCATGCAAGGGTACAACTTGCTTTGCGCACGTGGTTTCTTCAGCCGTGGTGGAAGATTGTACGAGTGAAGCCCAACCGCTCAGCTGCTTTGATGGGTGCGTTTGGTGCACACGTTGGCTCAGGGGCGTTTAAGCTTGACGGGCTGGATAGGTTGTTGGGCTTCCGGGAAGCGCAACTCTTCCGCTTGGAGAAAGGACCCTACTTCCTTCTCCACTTTTGGATTGTCGGTTATCGGATTACATATAGGACGCTGTGGGTGCAAACAATGTCAGTACAAGGGCAACGTAAAGCCGAATCCAGATATTTTTGTTCATTATTACTAGCACCACCGAATACGTAGCATCAACATGGATTCTGGCACCTTACAGGCCCTACCGACTATCGGTCAAAGCAGGGATCCACAAAACGTCCGAATCTCATGGTGTGGCTGTTGCCTGTTGCCACAGCCATTCCGACCATTTTTGAGGAATCCTGCGGCCGGTCCGGGCGCTCAGCAGAGGATTTGGAGCGGCGATATGCCGAGTCAGTGACCCACCACCGGAAGGCCAACGGCGAGTTGCTAATGGGCGACCTATTGGGCGCACCTTTACTTGCAAAGAGGGTCTAATTGCAAAATTGATCCCCGTTGCTACCGACAATCTATGACAATCTAAAATGGGTGTGGTATGGTGTGGTTAAGCACGATTTGTAATTTTCTATGACTCATGTGAAGAAGCAAGATGACTTCCGGATAATTTGAGTGTTGAAAGTTAAAAGGTGTTCACACTGAAATTATATTCTTGGCTGTTTGTGCTTTGGAGAGCTAAACCCATGTGATATTGCTTTATAGTTTATAACACTGAATTAACATGATGAAATAACAGTTTCATTGAGGCTCAAAAAGACTACATAAAAATCCTCAAGAATGTAAAGAACACATTGTCGGACGTCATGTTTAACAAAGGTTTCAAGGACACTTCAAGGCATGGCATGTTTTATCCTCAAATGTTTATTGGATCTTGGATGTCCTGTTTACACACACACATATATATATATATCTAAGATATCTATATACAATATATATATATACAGTATATGTTTTTCTGCATTGGAAACCCCTGCGCGCTGGGTCAGGAACAAGAATCTATTGTATAAGTCCCAGACTGGCATCAACGAATGTTTGGACAAAAACGAAACAAAACTTAAGATGACCACAACTTTTCAACTCAATTTGTCTTGAGTTCTTGACGTACCCTTCGAAGGAATGTTCCAGAAACATGCATCGTGCACCGGTTTTTGGCCTCAGGACCCGGCAAAGAACAATCAACAAGGGCGAGAAGACCTCAGCCACAAGGTAAAACATATCATATCAGAAAAATGCAATGCATTCTGAGAGCAAAACGGTGTGATCACCACAAAGTTATTTCCAAACCACTGGTGAAACACCAGCCCGACAGCAGACTACAAACGTACATAACCACTAAACCCATGCAAGAGACATGTTTCAATTTGTCAGCTGCTTATCAAGCATCATATTTGTTTCTATGGAGCCACTGCTCCATATAAATTGGGTGGTTTGGGGTTGAGGGCTTCGGGGGGGGTCATTTTTTTGGCATTGTTCTTGATGTTTTTCATGCTTGATGCTTTTTATTACTTCGTTCTTGGAAGCTGGATGAAACCAAAGACAACAATTCGATTAAAAAGAGCTTCCTACCTTGATGTGCGCCTGTCCGATTTTGTCCTATTTGTTCATGAATATTTCATGACTACATTTCCATCACAGTCATTTTTGTGAAGTCCGAATTTCCAGACCCTTTTAGACAGCTCCTCAAAACACCTACCTTTTTGAGCATAGGTATTTTTTGAAATATATACATCTCTTGACATACATCTTACCTGTTACAACCCATTTTATATTGACACTGTTTGAATAACATGAGCGTGCTTGGCCTCTCTTCTCGGTACTGGTAGCAACAGAGATCAGAATTGAGTCCTTTCTCCCAAAATGTTGCGACAGTCGTTTGTAGCTACCATGTTCTCCTGCACCAGCAAGAGGAAGGATGGAAAAGCGATGAACAGCGTGACGTTTGGAGCAGTGTACTCAGCGTCACTCCGCTTTTGAGACAGTAGCCCGG